TTCCTTTTCTTCCCTCTCCCCTCCCTTCCTCCCTCCTTCCGTCCTTCCTTCTTCCCTCTCTTTTTTCCTTCTCTCCTTCCACCTTTTTTCCCTTTCCTCCCTCCCTCTTCCTTCCTTCTGTTCCTCCTTTCCTTCTCTCTTTTCCTCATTCTCCTTCCTTTTCTTTCCTCTCCCCTCCCTTCCTCCCTCCTTCCGTCCTTCCTTCTTCCCTCTCTTTTTTCCTTCTCTCCTTCCACCTTTTTTCCCTTTCCTCCCTCCCTCTTCCTTCCTTCTGTTCCTCCTTTCCTTCCCTCTTTTCCTCATTCTCCTTCCTTTTCTTTCCTCTCCCCTCCCTTCCTCCTTCCATCCTTCTTCCCTCTCTTTTTTCCTTCTCTCCTTCCTCCTTTTTTCCATTTCCTCCCTCCCTCTTCCTTCTGTTCCTCCTTTCCTTCTCTCTTTTCCTCATTCTCCTTCCTTTTCTTTCCTCTCCCCTCCCTTCCTCCCTCCTTCCGTCCTTCCTTCTTCCCTCTCTTTTTTCCTTCTCTCCTTCCACCTTTTTTCCCTTTCCTCCCTCCCTCTTCCTTCCTTCTGTTCCTCCTTTCCTTCCCTCTTTTCCTCATTCTCCTTCCTTTTCTTTCCTCTCCCCTCCCTTCCTCCCTCCTTCCGTCCTTCCTTCTTCCCTCTCTTTTTTCCTTCTCTCCTTCCTCCTTTTTCCCTTTCCTCCCTCCCTCTTCCTTCCTTCTGTTCCTCCTTTCCTTCCCTCTTTTCCTCATTCTCCTTCCTTTTCTTTCCTCTCCCCTCCCTTCCTCCTTCCGTCCTTCCTTCTTCCCTCTCTTCTTTTCCTTCTCTCCTTCCTCCTTTTTTCCATTTCCTCCCTCCCTCTTCCTTCTGTTCCTCCCTTCTTTCCTTCCCTCCTTCCCTCCTTTCATTCTCCATTCTTCCTTTTCCTCTCTCCCTCCATCCCTCTCTTCTTCTTTCCTTCCTTCCTCATCTTTCTTTTCACCTACTTTTATCAATACTTCCTCTTCTTTCCTTCCTTTCTTCCTCATATCTTTCTCTCCTTCCTTTTCTTCACCCACTCCTCTTTATCAACACTTCCTTTACCCTTCCTTCCTTCTTTCCTCCCTCCCTTCCTTCCTTCCATCCTCATCTTCCATCCTCATCTTCTTTCTTTCCTTCGTTTTCAGCCACTCCTCGTCCTCGTCCAGCCTTTCCTTTTTCTTTCCTTTCTTCATCTCTTCCTCCTCCAATGTCAGCGTTCCAAGTATCCTGTAGAATTAAATCAGAGTCCAAGGCAAAACGATCCTTAAAGTTCCAATTTAATAAAGCAGACATCTTAGCACCTCTGTGTAAACACTAATGGCCTGACATCCTCTTTCCTTCCTTCTTTTCACCCACTCGTCTTTATCGTCCCTTCCCCTTCCATCCATTCATCCTCATCTTCTCCTTCTCTTTCTTTCCTTCCTTCTTCTTCCCTTCCCTCCCTCCCTCCTTCCTACCCACCCTTCCCTTCTTTTCCTCCTCTTCTTCCTCCCCTCTCTTATTTTTCTGATTTTGCAATCTCTCTTTCTAGAGGGGGCAGAGAATCCTCTGTACACGCACAGATAACCCCTGTTGAGAAACTCCTCGGAGGAAGCTCCTTCCTCAACCTAGCTCCTCCTGCTTCTTCCCAAGCTAACCTTCTTCTCCTCCTCTTCCTCCAACAGTTTACGGCGAGAGGGTTACACAGTCCAGGTGAATGTGAACGACTACCTGGACATCTACTGCCCCCATTACAACACCTCGGTGCCCGAGGGGCGCATGGAACAGTACATCCTCTATATGGTGAGCCTGGACGGCTACCAGACCTGCGACATCACCCACGGCTCCAAGCGCTGGGAATGCAACCGGCCTCGCGCCCCACACAGCCCCATCAAGTTCTCGGAGAAGTTCCAGCGTTACAGTGCCTTCTCACTGGGTTATGAGTTCCATGCTGGCCACGAATATTACTACATCTGTGAGTCTCCTTTGCCCTAACTTTTCATCGGTGGGATATGTTTTTCTTTCAGGTTTGCAATCCAAAAACTTATAAGTAATTGATAAGCATTTAGCAATAGCGCTTAACGCTTGTAGACCGCTTCGCAGTGCTTTTACAGCCCTCTCTTTACAGAGTCAGCCTCTTCCCCCCCCCCCACAAAAAGAAACCAATCTGAGTCCTCATTTTACTCACCTCGGAAGGACAGAAGGCTGAGTCAACCTTGAGCCTGGTGAGATTTGATCTGCTAAATTGCAGGCAGCCGGCAGTCAGCAGAAGGAGCCTGCAGGACTGCACTGTTGCCACCACAGTTTCATTGATGGCCAAATGCTGGGCTAGGAAGGGGAGTCCCACCTCCCCTTGTACAGGCGTGTCCGGCTCTAGGGGGCCAAAGAAGCCAGCATTGTCCGAAGACAGTTCCCACTGTCATGCGGCCCGCATGGCTATACACCTTTCCCACCAAAGTGTGGTACCTATTTATCCGCTCGCATTTGCCTGCTTTCGGACTGCTAGGTGGGCAGGAGCTGAGGCAAGGAACGGGAGCTCTCCCCTTCGCGCAGAGCCCGGGGCTCAAACCCAGGCATGTCTGCTTTCCAGCGGACAGGCTCAGGGGTCCTTGATAAATTCGTGCAAAATGGGTCGATCAGGGTTTTGTCGGTCGTGAAGACTTCCCGTTACGTCCCGGGTTCAGGCCGCGTCATTCCGACACCAGTTAAACGGGACATACGTCCGTCTCTTGAGCGAAATCAAAACACTAAATTAAAAGGGTTTTGTTAACCCACAGGGCAATGCCTTGTCTATCACAGTTAGTTGGAACATAGAATGATGGTCTATCTCAGGATAAGGCCGAGTTCAGACAACCCACTCCCCTCACGGACTACGGGCAGCCCTCAATTGACGTCCATTCACGTAACGACCGTTTGAAGTTTCGACGGGGCAGAAACAAGGGACCTATCCTCGGACTTACGACCCCGGCAGCATCCCTGATCAAAATTAGGGTAATTTTGAGTAACCGGGTGTGTTCTCAACAGTTTCAAGATCTTAGGGTCACGTGGTCAGCCTTCCCAGGCCGGCTTCCGACAAGCAAAGACCATGGAGGAAACCATGGATTCGCTTAGCGACCAACCCAGTCGTGGTCGTAGGTCGAGGACTACCCATCATCGACTCCATTTCAGCGTGGATGTACAAGCTGGGGCTCGTCCAGGTGTGGTACAGACCTTCAGCCGAGGTGGCGCAGTGGTTAAATGCAGCACTGCAGGCCACTTCATCTGACTGTTAGCTGCAGTTCGGCGGTTCTAATCTCACCGGCTCAAGGTTGACTCAGCCTTCCATCCTTCCGAGGTGGGTAAAATGAGGACCCGGATTGTTGTTGGGGGCAATATGCTGACTCTGTAAACCGCTTAGAGAGGGCTGAAAGCTCTATGAAGCGGTATATAAGTCTAACTGCTATTGCTATTTCTTCAACCCTGCATAAACTAAGATTTAGATTAGCAGCTGAGCTAAGCAGGAGAATATAACTTTTGTCCACTAGGGGGAGCCCTCGACCAGGCCATCTTTTTAGGCCTAGCCTTTCTCTTAAGTCCTCAACCTTTGGCAATGCGGATTTGTCACAAAGTGAATTTTATTTCTTCCTCCTCTCGTTTGCAATTGGGGTGTGTGTGTGACTTTTTAAGGGACCCAAGAGTCCTGCCTCCCACCTCTTGGGGTCCAGGTGGATGGGTTCATTTAACAATGGCAGCAATTCGCTTAACGACGGCAGCCAGGAAGGTCGCAAAAGCAGGCCCGATTCACGGAACCGCCGGCTCGCTTAGGAACAGAAATTGTGCCCCCAGCGGTGGTCGCACGCCGAGGACTGCCTGCAAGTGGCAATTCCCCCCCAAAATCCAGCTTCAAAGCGGCGGCGAAATTTGGCAGCGTTGCTGATCTCTTTATTTCTCTTCCTCACAGCCCTGCGAGGAAGGCCAGGCCGCTGACCTCGCTCCCGACTGCGTGTTTTTTTTAAATGACGTTTAAGCGGTCCTCGATGTACGACCACGACGGAGCCCCCCAATAATTCTGCGGCTAAGAGTTTGGCGCGCCATTTTGGCGACCTTCCTTGCCGCGGTGGTTAAGGGAATCTCTGCCGTCGTTAAGTGAGTCGCACGGTTGCTGAGTGGATCCGGTTTCCCCGTTGGACTTAGCTGGTCCAGACACACACACACACACACACACACACACACACACACACACGGGGACACAGCGACCGTCGTAAATACAGTCCGTTGGCCTGAATTTTGCTCCAGTTTATTTATTTATTTATTTATTTATTAGACTTCTATACCGCTTCATAGGGCTTTCAGCCCTCTCTAAGCGGTTTACAAATATATTTTTAGCAAATTGAGTCAGCAACTTGCCCCCAACACTCTGGGTCCTCATTTCACCCACCTCGGAAGGACGGAAGGCTGAGTCGACCTTGAGCCGGTTGAGATTTGAACCGCCGAACTGCAGATCGCAGTCAGCTGAAGTGGCCTGCAGTACCACACCCTAACCACTGCGCCACCTTGGCTCTTATCCGTGGGGATCGCAATGGTGGTAACTCGGGGGGCGGGGGGGGGAGAAACGGCCCCTTTTCGGTGCTGTGGTCCCTTCAAACGGTCGCTGAACAAACGGTCGTACGTCGAGGACTTCCCGTGCTGTCAAATGAGCTGTCAATCAGGGATCACACAACCCAGCGGAAGGAAAACCGAAAGAACCACAGATGGGCTTAGAAATTTGGATCCAAGATTGAAAAAGCCAACCTCCCCCGTTCCCTACCAATTTTTTTTTCCCCAAAGACCCCCCACTAATTTTCTGCTTTCGGGGGACACACACACACACGCACCCCAAGATTTCAATTCTCTGCTTTATAAAAAAAATCCAATCTGGAAGGCAGTTCAAGGCCCCCTCCTCCAATTTGCAGCTGGAGCGCCATCGCCGAAAAACGCCCCGCGATTCGATTCTCTCTCTCTCCGCAATTACGCCCCGATCAAGCTGTGAGATTAAACGTTTTACTCAAGATCGGCGTTTCTCCCCCCCC